AACCAAGGCTTCCCACCCATCTCTACTAAGTCTATACCTGCATTGTATTATTGGATAAACTTTATACGAGTAATAATTAAGATGAGGAGAATGTAACAATTCAAACTATCAATAATGTTAACTCTTGTATACGAACGAAATCAAATTTTCAATCTTCTCTTGCCTAACATGCGGCCGTCTCCTCTAGGTTTAGTGATCGTTTTTCTCCGCTTTCGTCTTCGACGAAGTGCGGCTTCCTTGTGCGGATTTCGTTCGCCTTTCGTGAGACTCTCTTCTTCAGCAGACCGCAGCTCCTATATGGCAGCCAAAAGTTGTGTACCCTTAGAAGCACATGAAGAGTGTCGAGGATGTCATTCATGGTTGAGATCAGAAGGTCATGGACGAAGCGTGGGGCTAGAGGCTGGGACAGATCTGGACCGGAGGCAAGGAGCGGAAGATGCTACAGTACTGTTGGATCGTCCCCCTCCTAAATCACCGCCATGGAGTGCAGGAGAGTTTAGGGTGTGGAAGCAGTATTTTAATTTTACTTTTTTCTTGCTATTTATTTTTCATGATCAGACTATTTATTTTTCTGTTAGTTACTTTTATTGTTGTAATACTCTTGCATCTGGATTGGGTGATGGGGGGTCTGGTTTAACCGTCGTTGGCTCATTTATACCCATTATAAGATCATCGAGTTATATTACTTTTTTGGAGGTGATCGGTTGTTTGTGCTCCTTTTGTCGTTTTACCCCCTATTTGAATGTTGTGATATCAATTTAAGTCATCCGTTTTGCCGATCAAAATAAAATTTAAGTCATTCGTTTTGGACGATCAAACAGTCATATCGATCCAACCTGCTTCTAGGGGTACATAACCTTTGGCTCCGGTCCCTCCCAATACTTTGGGTTCCTTCCAATAGACCAAACACTTAACAGAGAGGTTTTTTGGGGAGTGATATTGACATAAAAGGTAAAGATTTCTCATTGTTGTCATTTAAGGCAGGAGAATGTGCCCCGGTTATAGCCTAGGATTGAAGGTTGTGCAGGCAACGTTGGCAAATTTGTTGCATGGGTTTAATTGGAAATTACCTGGAGCTATGAAGCCAGAAGATGTTTCGATTGAAGAGGCTTATGGCTTGAGTACTCACCCTAAATTCCCATTGTCTTACACTCTTACCTCATTGAACCAAGACTTCCTACCCATCTCTACTAAGTCTATATCTGTATTGTGATATTGAATAAACCAAGCACTCCAGCCTAACTAGTTGCGAGGTTATCGTGTCTAGTGAGAGGTCTCGTGTTCGAATCCTACTAGGCACACAAGGGTGTGAAACTCAATGGAGTGAGTTTCAGCCCATATTACTCCAGGCTACCCCTAGCTCCCCTCCCCCAGACCCCCCTGGAGTAAAAAAAATGTTATAATTAATAAGATGAGGAGAATGTAACAATTCAAACTATCAATAATGTCAACTCTTGTATGTTTCCTTGGTTAGGTAAATCAATGATGAAAATTAACTTGAGATATATGTGTTTCTTTTTTCACTCTTAAATTAGCTTAAATTTAAAAAAAAATCGTTCTTGTTGTAGTTCACTTAAACAAAACTAAAACTAATATATCGACTACATGTTTATGACTCTTCTTAAAATGAATAATGACAAATGGCCGGGAAGATAATATGGAAGGGTGGGAAGAGAGTATGAATTACCTATTTTTTTTTCTTTTTCTTTTTTACTCTAGGGGGCGTCTGGGGATGAGGTCTGGGACTCTGGGGGGCCTGGAGTAAACTGGGCTGAAACTCACTCCATTGATTTTCGAACCCGAGACCTCCCATAAGGGAGAGTGAGTCTGCGGTCAGCTAAGCTGGACCGCCGTATACCAAGCTTGGTGTGGTATGATCTTGACATATATAGATTCTTTGCTTGATCTAGTCCGATCGATCTAGTGTTGTGTAGACTTTACATGTTGATTTTTGGGTTCATAATGAAGATTGTACGTACCTGTACATGTTGCCAATTTTTTGGCAGTTTCATGTAATACTGGAAATTATATTGTGGCAGAAAAACTTTTATTTTTAACATTAATTTGGATGTATTTCCAATCTTATGGCAGAAAATATTCTTATTACGTTTGCCAAACTGAAGAAAAAAAGTGCCATTATTACATTCATTCTTATTATATGGATAAAATGGTGTTTTTGCAGCAAGATGACAATTTTTTGTTTTCAAAATTGGTGCCAATTGCCCGGTGGTGCCTGAAGCGGTGGCGGCACTACGGAAGTGGGGGGCGGCGGGGTGGTGGCTGGAGCAACGGCGGCAGCAGGGATTGTGGCGACATGCTGCGCGGATTGTGCTGGAAGAGGCAAAAGAAACTAGGGTTTCACATTTGTATTTTATTTTTATTTTTAATTGTAAATAGATTACAATTTCATTCAGGTTAATTTTGTTAAATGAGTGTTCTTTAGTCCTATGAAACATGGAAGTCCTATTTGTGCACTTTTTCACTGTTTTGGTCCTATTTAGGGAATTAATAACCCTTATTAATAATTAATCAATATATAACAAACGGCATATGTTGATATTAGTAGTAGCATTCAGTCAATTTAATGAAATAAATTAAGAACGATAACTTGTAACTCGAGGTGAATATTCTCAGCTGTCACAATTAGAATCTCAGGTCTAACTATTCTGTCTAATTTATTCATTTGTATTCTGTTGAAATCAATTAAGATTGACAACTTCACAAGCGGTTTTTATAATTACTCTCTCTTACATTATTAACCATGAGACACATGCATAACAATATAAGTTTACTACTTATGAAAGGACCAAGTGAATAACAAGCGTATTCATTGACCGATTATAGTAATAATTAATATGAAAACATCAATTAATTGATCATTTAGTGATGCTGAAATATGAATATGGAAGTAATTAATATTTAAGAGAGGAAGATTAAAGAAATAACCCACAACTAACAAATCACAAGCTTCAATATAGCAAAATCAAGCTCAAAAGACTACCTAAAATACAAGAATAATGTCTATATTGAAGAAGGGATTGATTGGTGTGTAAAATGGGAAGAAAAAGGGTGTTTTTATAGGAGAAATGAGGTGGTTGGGTCTGATACCCGACCAGGTATTTCAGATGTCCGACCGGGTATCCTTGGCAATAACTACGGAAGTGTTGAAATATAGTCATACCCGATCAGATATGTCAATATACCCGATCAGGTATAAGACAAAGTCGATTTTCCCATGTTCTCTTGCTTTATTTGATCTCATATGATCTCCGGGTCAAATCATACACAATCGGGTATTGCATATACCCAGTCGGGTGTGATATCAAATCAGTTTTTTTTTACATTTCTTTGTCTCCGATGAAGGTTCCTCTTGTCTCCAATGTTCCTTCCTTATTCTCCCACGCTCTTTCCTCTTCTTTTCATCATATTTCTTTCTTACATGTCAAAATATCATCTTAATATATATCTTCGAATTCTAGTTAAATTTAAGAAGATAAAGATTATATGGTAATTGTACAAAAGCTAAGTAAACAAAATGTAAAACCGTACCATTCTAAAATGTGGTGTTTAAGCACTACTAAATAGTATTCCATACATATCAAATACACGAGATAGTTTTTCCCATCCCCTGTAGTGGTGGAATGAATGGATTCATTTGGTTATCTGAAAGAAATGGACTGAAAAATGTGGTTCCTTCCCCAATCCGTGCTTTGAATGATATTACTAACAATCAAGTTTTGTAAGTTCTCAGTCTCACATTCTAACCCTTCCTTCTAATACATTTAGTTCTCGCCCATTAAGTTTTACTATGTAATGATTCTTCTTTTCCCAGGAATGTTGCCTTTCTTAATCCTCCTCCTCATAAGCATATTCCGAAACTTCTTGAAGGAGTAGTTATACCTAGAAATGTAAAACCATTCATTGTAGCGGTTCTTGTTCAGGTACTCCGGACGGTGATATCTGTAAATGCAACACATCCCGGACAGATAGCTCAATTGGTAGATAGGGGTGACACAAATGGTAAATTTCATGTTTGAATTTTGAAAACTGCCGCGAGACATTAATATGTAAAAATGCATAAGACCACTCGTTATATGTGAGCTTCTTATTAAAATTCAATTTACATCTTTTTAATTAACTTCCGCTAGTGTTGAAGATTAGGTGTCGCTAGGGTTGTAAATGAATCAAATAATTTGTGCTCGATTCGCGATTTGAATTTGTATAAGACGATTCGAATTCGAAAAATGCAAATACAAATACAAATATGAATATTAAATTTGGTTCGAGTTGTTATCAAATACAAATAAGAATATCAGTGTATTCGGTTTGAATATTAATCAAATATATTCGATTAATAATAGTTATAATAATAATAATAATAATAATAGTAGTAGTAGTAATACTAACACTCTAATAACTTTTAAAAGATAGCAATACCCTAAAGTGTAGTTCATATATACTTATGCATAAATACGAATACAAATCGGATTTTTGGTTCAAATGTCTTTCAAATACAATCCAAATAATTATGTATTTGATTTGCAGAATAAAATTAGAGTCGTTTGACTTTGATATATACAATTATCAACTTATTTCACACATTATAAGTATAATTTCTAACATGTGTGTGTTAGTATTTATTTCAAAAAGTTTGAAATAGATTTATATTTGTTAATCATAAAATTGATTCACTTAAGTATATCGTGCACAATCTAAAACTGCATTAATCCATTGAATTTAAATTCTAAAAACACATATTAAGTCATAGCGTACATTTACAACATAAAAAAATATAATAAAATTTATTTTAAAATGATATTTGACTAATATTTAACCTATGCTCAAATATATTCGATATTCGTATAAGATTCATTAACTATTCGTATTATTAAACAAATACAAATACAAATCGAAATTAATATTCGTTTCATATTTGAATTCGAATTCGTATTCGAAAAAATTAAACAAATACAAATACAAAATCCTACTATTCGACTAGGTTTGGTTCATATACAAGGTGTCGCCCTTTGTTTATAAATAGAACACCAGATCAACATTTCAAGGGCCATCTATCCATTACTCGATCATGAGCTATAATTATAAGTATTTCCTCGCTTTGGTTGTTCAACAGCAGGCGGCCTTGCCATGGCTGCTGGCCGCCATAGCCTTTCTCTTCATAATAAATCAAAGACGGCCACGAAAAGGGAAAACTCCGCCGGGTCCAAAGCCATGGCCAATCATCGGAAATCTGAACCTCCTCGGCTCCATTCCACACCAATCCTTAGACTCTCTGTCCCAAAAGTACGGAGAGCTGATGCTCATAAACTTCGGTTCCACCCCTGTTTTAGTCGCCTCCTCTCCCAAAACTGCCAAACTGGTCCTGAAAACGCACGACGTCGTTTTTGCCTCTCGCCGCACGTCAGCGGCAGCTGCGCGCCTTTTTGACGGCGCCGAACTGTTCTGGTCTTCTTACGGGCCCTGGCTCCGCCAGGGCCGGAGGATTCTATTCTCTGAACTCATCGCGCCTCCGAAGCTTGACTCGCTCGAGCACGTCCGGGTTGAGGAAAGAATGGCTCTTATGTCCCGACTTTACGCGGCGGCGGTGGCGAGTACGCCGGTCCTGCTTCGAGACCATCTGTCAAAACTGACGTATTCCATTTCAGGAAGACTACTTTCAGATCACAAGAAATCTTTCAAAACAGGGGACGAGAGGGAATTGAGAACTAGGCCGATCGATATGAAGAGGCTGAATGAGCTTGTGGATGAATGGTTTCGACTCGATGCGTTGGCCATCAATCTCGGGGATTGGGTTCCCTGGCTGCGCCGCTTTGACCTGCAAGGCTATGAGAAAAGAGTGAAAGCTTTTAGCGAGGAGTACGAGCAGTTTCTGGACCCGGTGATTGAGGAACATAGGGCGATGATGAAGGCCGCCGGCGAGGATTTTGTGCCCAATGGATTGATTGATGGTCTTCTACAGCGAGCAGATGGTCCAAATGTTGTAGAGTCAGAGGTTGCCCTCACCCGTCATCGCATCATGGCCTTAATACATGTGCGTACCTACCCACCTATACATACATGTGCCTACTTACACAAATATTGCTGTACAAAAAACATGTTCCTATTTTACGGATTATTCTAAAATAATCCAGTTACATGGGCCCGGAACCGGCCCGGGTTGATACCGGGTCCGGGCCTAACCGGGCCAGGCCGGGCCCGGTTCAATGTTTAATTTTTTTTTTTGGCTTTCTTGTTATCCCCTAACCCCCTCATCCCCATCCCCAAACCTCCCCAAAACACCCAGCCCTACCCTAGGAAAAGAAAAAAAAATTGAAAAAACAGAAAAACAAAAATGAACCGGGCCCGGCCCGAACCGCCCGGGCCGGTTCAACAAAAAGAGGGCCCGAGCCCGGCCCGCACGCCCCGCCCACACGGGCTAAAAGCCCGGAACCGGCCATCCGGTCCCAGTCCGGTCCGGGCCCGCACAGTAGCGGGCCGGTTCGGCCCGGCCCAGTCTACGCCTAGTACGTATACAAATTTTAAATGATTCTAATTCTGCTCTTGTTAAATGTCCACACCGGAAACGTTTGGATAAATAAAGTGCTATATTAATATATGAGCTACTCCTCTTATCAGGTTGACCTTTTAGGATGAAACTTCGAGTCTTAACATGATAACTTTTAAAATGAATGGCAAACAGAATTAATTCCAAACTCCCTTTAATTATATATCTTTCATTTGAAAAGTAGGTGATTATGAATAGTGAAAGGAGATATAAATTATTGAGGGTATGATGAGAAAATAATGAAATAGTGTTCTGGAATGAAGGATAAATCCAAAGAAAGTAGTTGCAATGATGTATTATTTTTAAAATTATTGAGAGTATGATAGAAAGATATGAATGTTACGTCTAAAAAGGAAAGTGGGAAGAAATGAGTGTTATGGAGGGAGTACATATTTGATATTTCTTTCGTCCCATTTTAGCAAGCCAACTTTGATGATATCAAAATGATATAAAAAAATCCTTTGTCAAAGACACTATCATTAAAGTATAAAATTATTAAATTTTAGATAAATATATTAGTTAAAATAATTGTTACAAAATAAATCATCTTTGACTTGAAAAATCAAAGATAACTAACTAACATGTGACATAAGTAGTATTGGCGTCGGCGATTCTCACAGCGATGGCCGGATAAAGCCTCCTATATAAGGGGTGATTTGCACTTTTTAAGTTAGTTCGAGGGCCTATTTGACCCTTTAGCTTATTTTTTAATACGAAATTATTTTGAATACGAAAGTTATATCAAAATGTTCCGTATTCAAAGTATTTTCGTAAAAGTATAAAATTTATAAATTATATATAACTATAGTAATTAAAATCATTGTCCAAAGTTTACCGTCATGGACCAAAAAATGTCAATATGGCGAACCTTTTCGGAACGGAGGTAGTATAATAAAACCCAACAAATTAAACAGGTCTTCTCGGTCGAACATTAATCGCCGATCGCAGGTACATTGGTCTTCTCCCGCCATTGACTGCAACCTGGCCTTGCTTGCTACTATATTATCTCCATCACTGTGACGGTGCCAGGATTTGATGCCAGTAGTGTCAATTGAGCAAAATAATATTATACTTCGTATAATAATGTGTACATATATAAAGCAATGGAAATGATCTAGTCGGTCTGGACTAACAAGATTGAATTCTGGATCGAATTCTTTGAAAAGTGAATAACATCGCCACAAAATTTCATCAAAAAATTAACCGAGAAGACAATTAAATAAATTATTGAAAACACGACACTTTGTGTATGTATATATATAAAAAATCATGTTCTTAAATAATTTATTTAACTAATTTTCGCCTTGAATTTTTGACGCTGAGTAAAGTTTTGTAGGAATGTTCTACACTTAATGAAGAACATACTCACAAAATTTTATCAAAAATTGAACTTGAAAATCACTAAAATGGGCTCAGCCGGACAACAGTTCCCGTCAGTCTGGTCCGACTAGACTAGATCCTTCCTCGTACTTCTATAAAGCAAAATAACAAAGATTATCATTAATAAATTTGAAGTGCTAAATCACAACTATCCACGGCGCGTTTTCATATGTTGAAAATGTTGGACAATTTTTTCTTTGTTAACACTTTTTAATATATCTTTTTCAATAAAAGTAACTAAGACGTCTTTGAAAAGTAACACTTTTCAATTCGATTGTGCAATCGGTTCTTCTGTGATACCGCCGTTCTTTTTTACAACGATTTGGAGTTGGACCGTTGAAGTAAGAGTTGTGCCACCCAAACTTTTCTCTTTGGCGTGACTTTTTTGACAAGTTTTAATCAACTTATTCTTTTAAAAGGAATAAATAAGTCTTATTTGGGAGTAAAACATACTTAGTTTTATTTTTGAACTTTGTATATGATTTGGTCTTCTATTATTACATGGTTGTGTCGATTTTAAATTTTTGAAAGATTATATAATTTGTATATTATTTTTTTCAGTGGTGTCAAGTTTTAATTTTTTAAAAATTATATATATACATATATATAATTATGAATTAAAAAAGAAAAATGTCAATAGTGTCAACTGACACCACAACTCTATATGTGGCTCTGTCCCTGTCCATCTGTGATTTTTCCTCTGCCACCGACCGCACCCACACTCCTGTTCGATCTGCATTTTCTCTAGTGAAGTCATGTAATCTTCTTCTCTTTCAAATTGTAAACTAAAATTACTAAGCGGTCATCCAAACTTCAAAGTGTTTTGATTTGGACTTTATTAATCTCTCAATTTCGATTAATAATTTCATAATGGGCTAAAATTCCAAAAAGTTATCAAGGTGTATGCATTCTGTTAAATAAGTTAAGAGCATCTTCAATACTACAATGTGAACGGTAGGGTGCACATGTGACATGAGAGAGATAGACACAAAAGATTAATTTTATGGAATTTATCTCTCTTTCTTTCCACGATTTTATGTGTTTTTAGCAAGTTTTCTCAATAATGTCAACCACAATGTCTATATATAGACATTATTCTTGACATTGCGGAGAAAAACTTACTAAAAGCATATAAGACCGTTCTCAATAAGGTTAATCGACCTAATCTAGATAAACCGAATCATTTGATTGCATTTTAATTTTCATTAAAAATTTATGGCATCAGGGTATTTATTTGGATTTGTAGTTTTTTTTGACACCTCATTTCTTTTAATTTATGAAACCAAATAATTTAATTTTCAACGCATTTACAATATAATATTGACATCAACCAATTTTGATTTACTTAGGTTTTACTTTATATCTCACATCCAAGCAATTTGGCCACATTTTAGGGGTTACTAATTATAATCATTGTCCTTTATAAAATATTTGTCTCCTAATTCATCAATTTTGAATACAATGTAATACTCTATTTTATATTCTAAATTTAGAATATTTAGTTTTTAACTTTAATATGTTATGTCTCTTAATTAATTATGCATGTGTATGTTTCTAATATTCTTATTTATATTCAATGTCTTTATGCTCAATTTGCTAATGTTTTGATTATTCACAACTTACAACATTAATTAGATTTGAACTTAATCATTGATTATAATTATTGATATATTTAATAATACTTCATTAACAGTGACAACACATTTTCACTTCTTTTGGCTACACATGGATTCCTATTTGAATCTCCACCATATTCTCTTTATATATATATATATATATATATATATAGATTTTGGATCATATAAAAACACCTCTTTCCATGAAAAATGAGAAGCAATCTCATCCCTTGGAATTCTTACATAAGTAAAACGATGGCCCTGATTTAAGGCATTGCGGATGGGGTATTATTGTCCGTCCCAATTACTTCCTTCCGTTTTATCTATGCTCCAGCTTGGTAAGTGCATTTATTAGGCAACTTGATTAATAACTTTCCGTTTTATTTGTAATTGATGTGTGATGCATTAGCTTCGTCATCTTCCATTCTCTTATTCATTTCCATTTTTATTTATAATTGACGTGCGGTTACATGTGCTTTGACAAACTCAACAATCTCCCACTCACAAATACTTAACACATTTCTTTCACTTTTAATATTCTATTTTTACATTACTAGTATGAGTACCCGTGCACCGCACGGGAACATATGTGCTTAAAGTTTTTATTAAAATTGTAGGGAAAATAAATTGGATGTAAATTCATCAATGGGAGTTAATAAGAAAATTCAATCGACTATATATGGATAGAGCCGTCAAAGTGAGTCAAAATCCATATTAGGGCTTGCCCATTTCATCTCATTTCACGGTGGATAAGAGTTGTCATTCTTTAATCCGATGAACTCACCGGTTTCGTGGTGCAATTTGCACGGGTTGCGAGTTAATGTGACGAAGGATGTAATAATTATCATATTTTGGAAAGAAATAAGAAACAATTTATAATAACTCCGAATAAGGGAGAATCTCCAAAAGTTTATGAGAATAGCAATAGAGAGTAATATTTTTGTTTTAATAGTGGCTAAAAATTGTCAATTATTTTTTATTTTTGAGTATTTCGATTTTGTAATACCGGTGAGTGCAAAATTTTACCTAAAATTTTACCTAATTTTATATAGAACAAATTTCCTATAATATTGGAATACACAAGAGTAGAGTTTCGGAAGTTGAATAGCTTTTTCTTTAATTTATTGTGTTGCCACATGTCATTGTTTCATACAAAGGATGTTGCCACATGTCATCAATTCATCTAAAGAGTTCTTTAGGGGTTTGCTTTATTATATTATATAGATATGTTCACCCTAAACTCTAATCAATATTTTAAACCTACTTGTGCACTGCCAAACTTTACAATGTCCACTTTTTACAATTCTCGGGATCCTCGCCATAGTACCACTTATGTATTAATCTACTCCACTCTATTAATTTAGTCACTGATCTGCAATATTATGGGTATTAATATTTCCACTTTCCTAATAAGTTAATTAAATCGCCAATCTTCACTTTTAAAGGTTACATTTCCACTTATTCTATTTGTTTACATATTCACATCCTACG